AATGAACAAATGTTGTTGTTGTTGTGTAAAAAAAACAAATATACCATACCAACTACAATTTCAGTATTGGAGTCTTTCGATATACATTGCAATAGCCTATGCATTAGGAGTTCATCTATTACAAAAATATCAAGAACACAGAAAACCACGTCAATTAAGGATTCCGTTGTGTCTATGGAATGCCAGTCTAGCGATATTCAGTATCTTTGCTACATTTAGGTATCAAAAAAATTATTATTTTTTTTTAATCAAATTATTTTAGCAAACAATAACAATAATTCTAATTATTGTTCTAATCACATTAATAGCATTAACAATAATAAGTTTAGTGGAGGAGGGGGGAGGGGGGAAAGGGGGAGAAAGGAAAGCAGAAAAAATTTATGACGTTAATATTAGCAAAAAAAAAAAAGTAATCAGACACTAAAACAGTTCAATTAAACATTAAAATAATTGTTGTTTTAACCTTCTGCTCAAATTATATTGTTCATTGTTAGTCGTTTCTTTTTTCTTTTCACCAACAACTACCAATAGATGGAATTGTTGATGAAACTCTATGATCATATATTCTGCAGTTTCATTGTTTCATTGCTTTTGATGATTTTGTTGGAATCAACTTATAGACAATGATAAGGAGGCTAAATTGAAATGAAGAAAAAGAAAGAAAAAAAATAATGAACAAATTTAGAGAATTAAAAATGTAAGAACAAATCCGAAGTGAATTTTTTAAGGTTCGGTGAAGAATTCTTCTATACCGTTGGTGGGCACCCATTCCGACATACGGTATGCTATTCAATCAATCCAACAGGTCCAGCATCATTTTGGGCATGTGCATTTGCGCTGTCCAAAGTTGCGGAACTTGGGGATACATTTTTTGTTGTAATGCGTAAGAAGCCACTGATTTTCCTACATTGGTATCATCACGCCGTGGTACTTGTCTACAGTTGGAATTCAGGTAACCAAAAATCAACATAATTTTTCTTTGTTCCTGCTTTGTTTTTCCTCTTTTTTTTTTGTGTTTTTTTTTGCTATCAATATATTGCTACTGAAAACGATAGCTGTAATAGTGGAAGCAAATTCTGGTCAGCTGCATCTATCAGCGTTGCATGAGCAAAAAAAAAAGCAATTATTTTTTAAAGCCTATTTGCCTGCTTATATTACTGGCAAAGATACATTATATCTTTGAAGAAGAAGGGGGAAAAAAAAAACGTTGAAAAATAATACAGTGATAAACATCTGACTTTTTTTTTTTTTTTGTTTCTCATCACTGCTATTGGTAATTCCAAAAAAAAAAAATTTGTAGATAAAATTTTTATTTTTCATTTAAGTAACCAGAAATTTCTTTTCATTATTTATAAAAAACTTTGAAAAATCAAATGACTCTTGAAAAATTCCATTTTTTTTTCCTTTTTTTCTCTTCTTGTTTTGGACAAAAGATGTTAACTTTGAAAAAGGAATCAACAACAAAAATATGGCAAATATAAAAAGTGAAAAATTAGTTTTTTTCTTCTCTTTATTTTTAAAAAATAAACATTACTCTGTGCTAATAGTTGTTACAAATTTTAAGTAACATTTCTAAGATTAGGACTGATATGGTGTAACAAAAAACAAAGAAAGTTGATCAAAGGAGAATATTGCTCAGCAATTACAATTACCATCTCATTTCTCAAGCCGTTGTTTCTTTTTTTTTTCCTAGTGTTTTTCTTTTTTTTTTTTTT